ATGAATCACCGCGACAAGTCGCAAGGACCCCCCCCCCCCTCCTTGCGGGATCCCCGTTCAGAGAATCTGCTGCTATTGGGACCTCCTTAAAATACTGATATGAAAAATACTAGTAATTCATCGTATAAAACTCACAACTGATTTATTTACCAAAACAAATGTTACACTTAAATGCTGTGAGCAGGAACGTCCAGGATCTGAAGCAAAAAAATTGTTTAACTCCATCAAAAAACATCGTAGCAACATCAGTGGTCGAAGATAGAACTTGCATGATAAATTTTTTGCAGAGCCGGAAGGAAGTAATTTTTAGAGTCGAGACTGCTGCCGGAAATTTGGAGGATGCGGAACCGGAAGATGGTTCGTCAGAAGTCGTCAAACAGAGAACGCACTGATCAATGAATAAATGCATAAAGTTAATCCACTGACATTATCACATCAGAACAAAATCACAAACAGTTGATGATATAGCGTAAAATCCTTGATTCACGCAATCTGCCCAAAAAGAATGCTAAACAACGACAATTCTAATAAAAAAACAAAGAAAAATTCTAATAAAGTGATACCGGAATCCCAACTCTTTATCAAATGAAATTCCTTCCTTCGAAGAGAACCTCCCAGTTGAGCGTTCCTCAGTAAAATTTTATTCTTCAACGAATTCAACTTGATGAATAATTATCGCACAATTCAATTAAGTAATGACGGACAAAGTAACGATCTTGCAAGATTCGATCAGACAAGATTTATGGTACACATCATTTGAAAATTTATTTGCTTCCAAATGAACGCAGTAAGCGTTCAGTATGTTTGCTGAGTATCATAATGTGAGTTTAAAATTTGTTAACGAGCTGATTTTTTGTTTGGAGGTGTATTTTGTTGTGTGCAATGAAACTGAAATGTGATTAGGCAGAATAGAAACAGTGAGGAATCTGTGTGAGGGTTTCATGAAAATCATGAGATGCATTGGCCAGTTAGTAAGTAGTTTGCAAACATTTGCTTCGCATAGGTGGTAACTTTGGTAATTTTGTAACGTTGGTAACGTTGCTTCGCTGTTTCATGCTTCAGCTAGATGCTTTATTCATTGTCAACTTCATTGATTCGGTTCACTTATACTTCACTCACTCAGATTGCACAATGATGCAACATTATCATAAGTTGATAATTTTCAATATGTAAACACTGCTATTCGATAACCGCTGATGTTTTCTGAATAATGAGCAAACGAATAATCAATGAGCAAAAAGTGCTTTCCACTCAAAAGTGCTTTCAACTATGTACCATAAGATATTTATGCTCTGATGAAT